CTTTATCGATTTCAGGCATCGGCTACCTATCCCTTACGCGATGGAAACTAACCCCCAAAACCACCAACTTAGCATCTGTTTTTAGGTGTCCCAGGAACGGGGAGGTATGCTGTTTTGTGCCAATCCTCCCACGGAAAATTATATTATCCTTGAGAGGGCCCATCGGTCTTGAGGGGCCAACGGTCAATTATTCTGCACGTTTTTGTTTCTCTCTCTTGTTGTCTCACGCTCTCTCGCTGTGACTCTCACTCTCACTCTCATTCGCTCTCTCTCTCTCACACTCTCTTTCTCTCACTCTCGCTCAAGCGCTGGTTCTCACTCTCCCTCGGTCTTTCTCACTAGCATTGTCACTCTCTATCTCTCTCGCTCTTTCTCCCTCTTTATCACTCGGGCTCTTTACCCTAAGGAGTCTCTGCTAGCTTGCCCAGGCCGATTTCAAGCACAAGACGGCCTAGCTTTTTCTTTCTCCCTCTCTCTCTATCTCTCGCTCCCACTCCCTCTCATTCTATCGCCTCTCCTTCCCAGTCCTTTAAAACACCCCCGTCATGAGGTCGAATAGTCTCAATGGAACGCCGCAATCACTCTTCCCCTCCTAAATAGCACTCCCTCTCCAGCTTGGTCCATAAAATACCCTCCACCCAGGATGGGCTTCTTGTTTCACGGCACTTCCGTTCCGGGTGGTCCCATTTTCTCTGCGTCTTTTCTCTCTCTCCCTCTCTCTCTCGCTCACGCGCACTTCAAGTGTTTATGCCTTCCCTGTGGCCATATATAAACATTTTTGGTGCGTCTTGGAGGAGTTGCTAGCTCTTCTAAATTTGGTTATCCGTCCCCACCGGGGGGGGGGTGACGCAAAAATGGAGCTAGGTGTTAGGAGTAGTATTATGGAGTTTTTAGACTGATAAAAACCTGATTTCCGCAGTTTTCTCTGCTAGCTGGCTTTGGTTTTCCGCAAAAATCTCTGCTAAGCTGCGTGATTTTTCAAAGATCTATGCTAGCTTGCCTTTTCTGGTCCTTTGTAATATTCTGCGTGCGCGCTCTCTCTCTCTCACACACTCTCTCTTTCACTCACTATCTATCTCTCGCGCTCTCGCTATCTCCTTATCTCTCTCCCTCTCTCTCACTCTAATGAAGCACAGAATTTTCCGACTTCTCGACCTTCGGACGGCCAACTCAAAACCCGGCGACGAGGGCCCAATTCATGGTCGGTGGGCGGGCGTGATTAGGGGGCAATTTAGGATGGGACGGCGGACAGACAAACACACACAGAATGACGATCGGACCCCAGCTCTTTTTTGGGGGGTTTTGTGGAAGTTGTGGGTTCGTCATGGGGAGACAGGGGTGCATTTTTTTCGTTTTTCTCCCGGCCTACAGGAATTGGGAAAGCTGTGTTACGGTGGTTTTTAGCTCTTCCTTTTAAGGTGCGTCTCAAGTAACCTTTTTTTACGGAATTAAGATTTACGGTTTTAAGAATCGCACGTCTCACCCGCTCGCTCTCACTCTATCTCGCTCTCTCTCTCTCTCTCTCTCTCTCTCTCTCTCTCCTCACACCCACATACGCACTGAGAGGGAGAGAGAGCGAGTGAGAAGAGAGAGCGAGAGAGAGAAGGAGAGAGCTCTGTGAGAGTGAGAGAAAGATAGTGTGCGAGAGTGAGAGGCAGACAGAGAGAGAATGGTAGAGCAAGACCAGAAAAAATCTTCCTACGGATTTTAGGTTTCCCCGGTATTTTTTCGACGCGTTTAGTTTAAGGTTCTACGTCTGTAATAAGTGTTATTTATGGTAACCGGAAAGCTCAGCTCACTAAATGATTCATTACGTCTTTTTTATACCCTGAAATTACGTCGATGTTTTTGGTGGATCACACCTATCCTCCATTACTATTCCAACAACTCCAAATCCTTTGTAAGCCTCCAAAGCACCCAAAAGCCATATCCAATATCACCTCCCGCCGGCTGCTTAACCCCCAACTTTTTTCCGGGGCCACTGTCTGAAGCCGGCGGGGCAAGAATTTTTGAACACCTCGGGTTGTGGTGGATCAGATTTCCGGGCTTCTCACTCGCCGATTTTTTGGCGCTTTGCCAAGGGTTTTCTTGGTGCCGAGCCGTTCGGCCCTCGATTCTCTCTTTGTCTGTCCCCTCCTGGAGCTCTTTTTGAACTTTTCCCCAGGCTTCACCGCAGGTCGGCTCTGGCCCTCGGCGGCCAGGGGGGAGGGCGGTCCAAATTTAGGCCCTGGGCCGAGATTCGGGCTCGCCGAAAAATTCCCGGTTTCATTCAGGGGGTTCGTTCCGGGTGTTTCGGTTCGGTGGTTTCGGGAAATAGTTTTGTTTCGGAATTTCGGGATATAGAAATTCTGGTTTTTGCAGGTTTTTGTAACTTTCTGCTAACCCATCCAGATATATAGATGAATTTTTATCAAGTGAATATCAGAGAGAGAGAGAGCGAGAGAGACGGAGAGAGAGAAAGCGACTGAGAAATATCATCATTTCATTGTGATTTCATGATTTTTCTTCATTTCCGGTCCATTTAATCTCCCTAAAATCACTCCCCAATTTACATTTACCTCATCCTCACCGGAATTAGGGCTTAACCCCGGAAGTTTGAATCATCACCTCCCCTCCGCCTCCAGATCACGCGAAAGCGATTCTGAATTGCCGCCTGTAAAAAGCGGTGCGGGCAAACAATTTCGAGGTTGAGCATTAGCCCTTGAATTTAGCTCTTTGATTATGGAGGGAGGTGGAGTGGTTAATGGTTACTTTGTGGAATCGAATTGCAATGTTTGGAACTTCGAAATTCGGGAAAAGGATTTCCACGAAATTTCTGAGGTTCCCTTTCTCCATTATGTCTCTTGTTCTCGCTCTCCCTCTCTCTCACTCGCTCACTCTCTCGCTCTCTCTCTCACTCACTCTCTCTCTCTCTCTCTCTCTCTCGCTCTCTAAATCTGCTCCAGCTCTAGCTCGTTTTCCAGAAGCGCCTCTGCTAGCTTGCCAAGATCAGTCATACCTCCCTATATCATTTTTGCTCTCCCTCTCTCTCTCTCTTACTCTCTCTCTCGCTCTCTCTCCCATCGACACGTTCTCACACTCTCTCGCTATGTCTATCTCTTTCTCTCTCCCAATGAGCTCGATCTCACCTTCTCTCTCTCGCTCCCTCTCTCTCGTTTTCTCTCTCTCTCCGTCTGACACTCTCTTTCTCACTCTCCCTCACTAACTTAGTCCTCAAGGATCTCTGCTAGCCTCCCCACAGCTGTTGCTTATCATCTCCCCACCCCCGTCACTCATATTTTGACCAACAGTACGATCCTTAAACTTATTTTCACCCCCGTAAATGTCATTTGGAAAGTGCGCAACATCTCAGTTAATGCCAGCGGTGTTCCGATTATTTTTATCCGCCCTCAAAAAATCCGCTTTCTCTGGCCATGGCGTGTGTCTTGGGGGCGCATTTTAGGGCCGGAACCCAACAATTACGACATGTCTTGCCGGCCTAGGGGCCTGGCCTACCCGGCCGCCATTAACAACCCAAAAAGGGCTGGGGGAGTACCCGGGAATTAGGGGGAAACGTTGAAAATGGAGCGCTTCAAGGGGGGGTTATCGGGTTTTAAAGGGCCATTGAAGGTAGAGTATGGATTTTGGCTAGGTGGAGCTATTACGACCGGTTACGGCCATCGAAAAAAAAATTGAGAATCCATGCCCACGTATCCATAACCTGTCTTTTCCTTACCTCTAAAGAACCACTGAAGGCGACGATTTCTACCGTAACCTTTGGAAACCATAAAAACACTTTTTTTGGAATTTTTGTAAGGTTGTTTGGGCCGTAAAACTGTTGTAGACCGGAAAAGGGTAGTTTTTGAACTCTCGGGGCCCGTTTTTCCGTTCTCAGAAAGTTGTTTTTGGCGCGTAGGGTTTCCGCCCGGAATTCCGGACGGGCGCCAGACGACCCCACACAAGATTATAGCGTTCAAAAACATTGGGTTCGAACTTTGAGAGGAGGTCGAGTTCTGATTCTCTCCCCTGTCCCTCTCTGTCTCTCTCTCGCTCTCTCTCCCTCGCTCAGGCTCGCTCTCTCTCTCTCACTCCATCTCTCACTCTCTCACTCCTTCTCATACTCTCTCTCGATCTCACTCCCAAACATTGTCTCATTCGAGCCCATTTTCCCCCAATGTCCTCTGCTAGTTCACATCTGTTACTTTTCGATAATACATTTAAATAATTTTATTAGTATTTTCTATTTTGCAGCATTTTCTTATGCGGTGAGGAATGGATGGGACGACGAGTCGTCCGGGTCCATCCACGGCACTGCCCGACCATGTCTTTGATGCCATCATACAGGTACTGTACTCGCGCGCGCGCTCTCCCTCTCTCTCTCTCTCTCTCTCTCTCTCTCTCTCTCTTGTACAAGTACTGTACTTCACAGGGAACCCGATCCGATAGTACAACTTCAAAATAGAAGCGATTAAAATAGTGTAGCGGAAGTGTAGTGGGCGTGAAGAATCACCTGTTTATCGCGTCAACTTTATTGCAACCTGATTAGGGCTATTGTTGAAAACCGGAAGTCTATCTTCATCTATGTAGTCAAGAGTCAACTTAAAAACCGTTTCTGTTGTTTAATAACCGTAACACGCAGCTGCGGAAATAATTTTTTCTAGATTTGGACCCTAAACGGGCGGGATCGGAGCTGTATCGCTAGCGAACATGCTTAAAAAGTTCTTAAGGCGATTTTTAGACCTAACACTGTAAAAATCAGTTCCGGAAATGAAGTTGCGTGTTTCCGGAAACGAATCTCGTGAGAATTTCGACCAGATTTTGACGTATGGAAGTTGTGTCGCAATTGCAATCTTGGTTGAAATCTTCTTACACCAATTCTCCCACCCAAAATTTTTAAAATTGATATCTGGAAATTTTACTGGATTCCGATACCGGACCAAATCCGACTGAAATCCGGTCAGGATCCGACAGGTTAAGGCGCTTTAATAAGCTATTTTCAGGGCCTGAACACCACCACGGAGATGGCAGCCGAGAAGAACTTTTGCGGTCTTTCGCCGCACGATTATTTAGAGGTATCGTTATCAAATCTGAAATAAAGATTAATTATCAGGTTGGTAGATAAGTCCTGTCACATGTCACAATTTTTTAAAATCGCTCTATGAAGCCACTGAAACATCCAATTTGGGCTTTCGATACATGATTTGATAGGTCTTCGGACGCTCTACCTCAGCATGACCCTCCTAGGACCCCAAAGTCGCTGGTCACCGAGATACAGCTTCGAAAAGTTTCGCTCAAAATCTAGTCACAGCTTTCGAGCGAGTTATCTCTGCATAGAGCAATTTGCATGCGATACCTTTAACACCAATCGATAGCTCTCGAGGAGTCGATATCGATAGATGTTGAGATCATCAAAAACGGACATCGGATGACCGAGATACGACCCCTTGAAATTTAGCCCATTTCTTAGAACTTTTCCCCAAATCCCATACATTTTGCACATTTGGGCCAAACTTTGCCGCCTTGTTTTTGCACGCACCGAGAAGATTTTGTCAAAATGTATGGGATTTCGAGAAAAGTTCTAAGAAATGGGCCAAATTTCAAGGGACCATATCTCGGCCATCTGATGTCCGTTTTTGATGATTTCAACATCTATCGATATCTACTCCTCGAGAGCTATCGATTGGTGTTAAAGGTATCGCATGCAAATTGCTCTTTGCAGAGATAACTCGCTAAAACACTTTTGCGTAATTATTCAAAAATCTTCAAGGGCCGTTATCTCGGCGACCCACAATTTCCAGACCCTATCCGACTGCACTCACGATAGAGCATCTCAAGACCTATCAAATCATGTATCGCAAGTGAAAATTGGACGTTTCTGCGGCTTTATAGAGCGATTTCAAAAATTTGTGACAGGACTTATCTACCAACCTGATAAATACAAATAACCAAACAAATCCTAGTTAATTAAAATAGTTCCAAAAATCAAAAACCTAAGCCATTTTAAATTTTGCAAAAATTCAACTAATCCAAAAATCCGGAACCTTCTCCTTTCAGGTAAAATTCTTCATGATCAGCGTGGTGGGGAGCATCATCGGGTTGTTTGGCCTTTTCGGAAATATCAGCACGGCGTTGATCTTGACAAGGTGCGGTGGATAGGGCAAGATATAGAAAAAGAATTTTTGCTTCAGGCCCTCGATGCGAAACCCGAACAACCTGTACTTGACGGCGTTGGCGGTGTTCGACTCCTGCCTGCTCATCACCGCGTTTTTCATCTACGCCATGGAGTACATCATCGAGTACACGCAACAGTTTCAGCTCTACGTGGCGTGGCTGACGTATTTGAGGTGGGTTTGTCGAGCTATGGTATGATTGGTATGATTTTTGGCAAACTGCCTATCAAGAAAGTCACGTCTTTTGACTACACAACACCTTTAAATTACTGTAAAACGGGATTAAAGGGCTTCTGAAGCTTATTTGAGTGATTATTTGCCTTCTCAAACCCTTACAGTACTGTAATTTGTTAAACAACCGAGTGAATATCTGGTGAAGGCATTTTTATAGGCTTTTTCCTCGAAAATCGAAATTTTTTTGACTTTTCAACACCTTAACAGTGCCGTAGTTTAGTGAAAACGATGCCACCTAAGTATTAAAAGTATTCTTGACGACTTTCAATCAAAAAACGTCATTTTCAAGCTTTTCAATACCTTTAAAACACCGTAGTTTGGTCAGAACCCGGAATTAAATGGATTCGAAAGTTTATAAACTTCCCTTCAGATTTGCTTTCGCCCTGTCGCACATCTCGCAAACCGGCAGCGTCTACGTTACCGTAACCGTCACGATTGAGCGGTATTTGGCCGTGTGTTATCCGAAACGATCAAAACGGTTATGTAGTTCGGGTAGGTTTCTCTCTCTCTCTCTCTCTCTCTCTCTCTCTCTCTCGCCCTCTCTGTCTCTCTCACTGTCTCATTCCCATTCTCATCCTCTCATTTCCAGGAGGAGCTGCCTGGACAATTCTTGGCGTCACAACCTTCGCCGTCCTCTTCAACGCCACAAAATTCTTCGAGCTTGATGTACGCAACTTTCCAGATTTTACCTATTCTAACTTTCAATGGTCCTCTAAAATTTTTAATATGCAATTTTTCAGGTCCGACGAAATCCGGATTGTGGCGAGGGGACTGATTGGCAATCCTATATGCTGCAACCTTCACTGATGGCCCAGAATGAGATATATCAAAGGGTAGGGGACGAGAGAGATAGAGAGTGAGAGAGTGAGAGAGAGAAGGAAAGGGAGCGTCTCCATCCCTTCAAAATTCGTCAATTTTTAGGTATACGCGCTGTGGATCACCAACATCGTGATGGTGTTCTTTCCATTTCTGATACTACTGGTAAGTTTTTGCAGAATTTAAGCGAGAGAGAAAGAATGAGACAGGGAGAGAGAGAGAGAGAGGGAGAGAAAGCGAGAGAGCGCGGCAGAGACCAAGATAAAAAAGTTTACCTTTTCCAGTTGCTCAACTCCATCATTGCCTACACCATCAAACGGAGCCTCCAAAAATTTGACTACAGCGACCCGAAGATACAGTAGGTTTCTTTTCGGGAATTTTAATTTTTTAAAGCAAATTCTCACCCGGCACCTCACCCTTTATCGTAAAACCTATAAAAGCATTCACGCCAATACTCACACCCACTGGACACTCACCTTTAGCGTTGGATCTGTGTTTTTTGATTGATATTTGCCCTCACCCGCACTTACCCTGTGTTTTTGCGCACTAATAGATACTATTGAAAAGTTTAACTTACGAGTTCCTTTAAACGAGAGCGAGAGAGAAAGAGAGAGAAAGAGAGAAAGAGAGAAGAGAGAGAGTGAGACAGAGAGAGTGAGAGAGCCAGAAAGAGTGAGAAAGCGTGACAGAGTGAGGGACAGAGAGAGACTGCGAGAGAGATATTCAGAAAAATATCCCTTTTGGCACGCTCCCTCTAAAGCGTCAATAGCTGTGTGTCGTCAATTGCAGAACGAAGCGCCTCTCCACAGTAGATGGGGGCTTTGGCCCGGATCCATCAAGAAATGGCTCAACCGGCGCCCCAAACCTCTTTACCTACACCAAGTTGTACATTGTGAGGTATCGGAGGGGATCTGGCTTGAGGAGAACGAGACTGAGCATGAGAATTTGGGTGCCGTAACCGTGACTTTCCATGCCGGCTCCAATTTCGCTTCCGCTTCTTCTCCTTCCGCAACTTTCTATCCACTGTATCCTTTGCTACGTCCTGTCGATCACATAGTCTTCGCAATGTCCCGTCCTGTCCTGTAGTGTTATCATTTTCTGAAAGCACCCGGAAGAAACGGCATGATTCCTTCCTTCCTTCCCGTCCCTTTAGCCACGCCGACTCCGCTAATTCCAATTTTCAGGGTAAAAGATCGGCATGAGCTGAAGGAGAAGAGTCGAGAAGCTACCCTCGTCCTCATCACCATCGTCTTCATCTTTTTGATATGCAACTTTTGGGGGTACGTTCGTCGGGCCATTTTTTTGTTCGATTTTTTGCTCGGTCGGTTTTTAAAGGACCGGTTAATCCTTGATTATCGCTTTGCCTGAGCCGATTTTTATGCCGTAATCAGTGAACCCTGTTTTTAGGTTCGTGCTCACCCTCCTGGAAGAAATCCTCCCCGACGGGATGCTCCAAGAAACCTACAGCACCTTCTACACCTTTTCCCGGGAGACCATCAACTTTCTCGCCATCATCAATTCGTCTATCAATTTTGTGATCTATATCATTTTTGGAAAGGATTTTCGGTGAGTTTTAACAAAAGCAAGATGTATTAAAATTGAAAAATCAGGGTAAATATATTACTGTCATTGCCTTTTTTCAGAAAAGAGCTAATTATCGTGTACGGGTGTGGAATGCGGGGGATGACGCTACGACTGCCGGCGCATGATAAGTTTAGGTAGGGTTAGGAATCTCTCACTCGCTTTCTCGCTTGCTCTCTCTCTCTCTCTATCTCTCACTCTCGCTCGCTCTCTCCCTTTCGCTCTTTCTCTCGCTCATTCGCGCTCTTCTGTCTCACTGGCTCTCGAGCTCGATCTCTTGCTCCCCTGCTACAACAATATCTATCTCGTTCTCTCTCTCTCTCGCTTTCTCTCTGTTTCACTCTGGTTCTCTCTCCCACACAGACTCACTCTCACACGCTCTTTCTCTCTTTCTCGCTCTCTCGCCCTCACGCTCTCTCTCCCCCTCTTTCTCGCTCTCTCTCTCCTCCTTTCTCTCGCTCTCTCTCACTTTCCCTCGCATGCTAAATCATGTAAATTTCCAGTATCTGGCGCACATGGACAAAACGGGTCGACCTTCGCCGCAGCATCTCCATGGTGACGGCCAGGCGGAAATCGGTAATTCTTTGACTTCACAGGCCCTTTAAACCTTTTAAATAAATTTCATTAAGCAAAATGATTTCGTCAATCCTATTTTGCCCTTCTACCCCACCAAAACACACCCTTTCAGACAGTAATCCACGCCCAAAGGTTTGTTTCCGCCTCAAAGAGTCGTCGATTTTCAAAAAGCCGATTTTTTTGCTCTTTTTCTATGCGTATTCAAAGTGAATTTTGCGATTGCGTACTTTTGCGTCTTTCCGTGCTGCTTTGCCGCCTATCCCGCCTTTCTATGGCTTCACCGTATTTTTCCGCCCATTTTCTGTATATCGGCTGGTTTCCTGTATTTTCTAGAATTTTTTGACCTCAAAAACAACCATTTTTTGCAGCATACGGTGGGCACCGACGAGAACGGACGGCGGACGTCTATGCTGCTCGGGTTCCGAGACATTACTGGCAACGGCAACGGACCGGCCGGTACGGTAGTTGGGGCAATTTTTAGGAAAACGAAAATTCATCAGCCAGAGGGTGCCGATTTAAATATTATAGATTTTAATAATGCTTATTTTTATAAGTAAGATAGTATCATTTAAATATTCTGATTTTGGTGCTTTTGCATTATCGGTGGGGGCAGAATTGGACTTTTGTAGAAACCTAGAAATGCCTATTAACAGAATTTTTGGGTGGTTTCAAGACACCTCTAGAACAATTTCACTGGATTTCCCTTGGAAAACTATCGAAAAAATGCAAAAAACTTTCAAAATTCGCAAATTTGAAGCGTCGTTTTTTGTCGAAAATCGATTTTTTTTTGCATTTTTTAAGAAATTGTATTTGTATTTTTTTATTTCTCGTAAACCGACGGTATGAAAATCGGCACATAAAAATCGGTATTATTAAAATCGGTATCCTTTCTGACAGTAACCCTCGTGGCTCAGCCGGTAGAGCATCAGCCCCTCAACATAAAGGTCGAGGGTTCGACTCCCCGGACCTACAAACTTTTTGATTCTCGCTCAAAATAACACAAATTATATTTTTTTTGCTATATTTAACGTCTAAATAATCTAATATGCATATTTTTAGTGGGTGCGGTTCCCGCGTCACCCTCCCCTCCTCCCCCCAATCGAACGGTTCATTCCCCTCATTCCCGAGCACCATTGTATAGAAGATGAGTCGCCCATCAGATGCTATGTCAATGGTAGGTACACTTTTATACAGTAACCCACCTACCGTATCCCGAAAACCCACAAAAATTTGGTATTTTTCTAGTCATTTGAATGAGCCGGACGGCCGTTGTTGCCCGGTAAGCAAAAATCGCTCGCCACTCCTCCTGTCCTCTTTTGCTGTCCTCGAAAAAATTAAGGGCCGTTTTAAAGGGATTGTCAAGGCATGGTTATGGATTTTTGGCCATGGATTTCGTATGGATTTTGCCGCCAGTTGCGCTGCTATTTTCTATAAGAATGTCCAGATTCCAGAATTTCGAAATCTGACAATATCGAAATATCAGAATGTCGGAAATGTAGAATCTCGAATTCCTACAAAATCGAGCTTCCGTGATGTCGAAATAACGAAACATCGAAAATATAAGACGAAAAAATGTCTAAATGAATTTTGACATTTTCGAATTTCGAAAATTTCGGATAAGGAAAAATCCAAAATACCGACAGCCGAAATGCCGACAATTCCAAATGCATTTAACCAGGAAACCGACAAGCCAAAATGCCGACAGGCCAAAATCTCGACAACCAAAATGTCGACATCCGAAATGCCGACAGACGAAAATCTCGACAACCAAAATGCCGACACGCCAAAATGCCGACAACTAGAATTCCGACAGGCTAAAATGCCAACCACAAAACACCGACATGCAAAAGAGACGTTTAAAAGGAAGTGGAGTCCAAACTAGCGTCTAGAATCTGTCGGCATTATGGCTTTTCGCGATTTTGAAATTTTGGTATTTTGAGAATAAGCATAGCGCCGCGGCAAAATCCGCAACGATCCGCATAACCTACAATAATCCATAAGCATGTCTTGCCAACCCCTTTAAAACTCGCCTGCAAGACCACTAAATGCTGGATGGTATACCGCACTTTTCAGGGTACGACTCCGCGACGCCTCGATTTCTATCGCCAGCTCATTGCTTATCGCCAAGGGATACGGTGGTGACGATTGGGGACGAGACGCCGAGTTGTCCACCTAGCCCATGTTAGCCAAAGCGTTTTAAAGGGACTGAGAAGGATAAATTTTAGTGAATTTCGACGTTTTGTACAAAATCCAAATTCATGGCTCGTTTTCCTAGACTTTCCAGGCCCTTTAAAATCGCTTTTTGCGCGAATTGTTGGGTAGTCTGCGTTTTAAACGAAAAATTGGAGTCAATTTTCGACGTTTTAAAGAGTCTGAGAAGGCCAAAATGGGCGAACTCCAATAACCTTACTCGATTTTCTCCAATTCCCAGGTCTTTTAAAATAAATTATACGTATTTTTTTGGGTATTTTGCATTTTATGCCTTTTAGATCAGATTAAGAACATTTTGTGCGTTTAAAGGGACTGTGAAGGCAGGATTCTTGTGGATTTCGACGTTTTAAGCCAATTCGAAATATATAGCTCAATTTTCTCACTCCCCAGTCCCTTTAAAATCAATTTAATGCACATTTTGGGTATATGTTCGTATTTAAGAAATCTAAAAATCCTTTTTAATTCGAATTTTTATGCATATCCTACAAAAGCCCTTTTTAAAACCCTTAATTACCCGATTTCCTACCGTATGCCTTGTCAATATTTGGATAATTTTGGCTTTTCCTCAAATCCTCAACCTATTCGCCTCAAATACCGGTCTTTGTCTTCGAGTCCATTTTTATTGTCATTTTTCGGCTTTCGTACCCCACATTTTTGGGGAGCAAACTTGAGAGATTCCTATAGATTCGGTGCATAAAGAATATGATATATTGCGTGTCTGTGTTTTTTGCCATAAAGAGATAAAGAATTCGATATTTTTTTGCGGTGTTTGCATACCACTAGGTAGTAATTAGACTATTAAATAAAGCTAGCAAAGATCCTTGAGGAAATGAGAAATACGAAATCCTTTGGGAAGGCGAACTAGCATAGATCATTTCGGAAACAGGTCTTGGGCATGAAAAGGTATAGGGAATTCATGTTGGTAGGCGGGCAGAGACAATTTGGGAAATCTTCATCTAACTACAAAGCGATGTTGATTTAAATTTGTAAT